TATATTTGACTTTGTGTACACAATTCATCTTATCTTTCCAGTCTTAAAGTGATTGAAAAAAAAATGGCAAAAGTTGTAATTCTTTTTCAGATAAAAGCTTTGTGGACTTTTTCATGACATTCTAATCATAACATATAATGGATCTTATGTAGAAGAGAGGATACAATCAAGTATGAGGAAAGGATCTAATTATGTGACATTGTACATTTAGTCCTGTTAGTGAATTTGGTGTTCATCTGATTCCCCCCTCCAGCTCTGTATGAACAGTCATGTGAGGCCTACAAGAACAAGGGTTACCCGTCTGACTTTTACTACATCGACTCCGATGGCAGCGGGCCTCTTGGACCTGTGCGTGTCTTCTGCAATATAACTGGTAAGCAGTGTGACGTCTTCATTCTTTTCTTTTTTAGCATGTCAATTCCTTATTTATCAAAGATCATAAGGTAGTACAAACATGTTCAAACAAGATGCAGGCGTCAATGACGTCTTCATTCTTATGCATATAGTGTATGTGAAGAAAATTATACTGCTCCCACTAAACCACATACATTTCAAGGCGCCCCAAGCCTGTAATAGAAAGGATTTTTATGTATCCATGTTGCCCTTAAAGCTGCATGAAAAGGACCCTGTCCGGGTTGTAAGGTATTTTTTGTTATCGAATCCAAGCAGATTCACTCATCACTACTGTGGAGGATCTAAATCTAGATCTAAATCTTAATGGCAGACCACAGACTGAGTGACCGTTCTCTCCGGAATGAGATTTAGACCCCTGCTTCATGAAAATTTCACTCACTGGACCTCCTTGGATTTTAATTCACTGCCCCTACTTTAGAGTGACCCGCACAGAGTCCTACTGTTACTTTTTATTTTCGATTTACATGCTACTTATATGTTTTATAATAATTTTTGTAGACTTTTATAGCTATATTTTTTTATATCTTCTTCCCGGATTCCCTATCCTATCCTGACTTCCTAATTGTGTATTGTATATCCCTAAGCATTTACACTTGGCATCCTATACTTTTACTTACCAGTCAATACTGTATACTGATCCTAATCTTTTATGTGCAGCTCTGATGAAGGGGGACCCTATGAACCCCCAAAATGTGTTGGGTTTTTTTTATGACAAAAAAAATTTGAATCTGGACTTTATACGTTCTATTTTGGGGCTTTCATTCTTGCACATCTAGTCCTTAACAGAGTCCTGACCTTAACACCGCTAATGCCTTTGGGATGATTTGGAACACTAATTGTGAGACAGGTCTTCTCATCCAACATCAGTACCTGACCTCACAAATGTTCATTTTGGTTGAATTGGTAAAAATTCCCAGAAACACTCCAAAGTCTTGTGAAAAGCGTGGAGGCTGTTGTGGGTGGTGGTGGGACTCCATTCTAGTGGCCATGGTTTTGTTGAATGTTCAACAAGTTTATGTAGATGGGATGGTCAGATGTCCACAAAATGTAGTTGTGTACATTACTATTGCAGTATTACCGTAACTAAACTGTGAATATGTTCTGTGTGGTCTGGATCTCATTGTGAAGGAGAGACTCTCCCCAATTGTTACATTAATTAGCAACCACTCGGGTGGGATAGCTTCAAGAAGTACATTTATTCAGCTAGCCAGCCGGGAAAGTGCAGGAATTTAGGCAAGTTCAAATAATATGGGCTCGCTGGCTGCTTTTTATAGAGATTTGAACAATGAAACCATCTGTGTTACCTTGAATTATCTCCAAATATTAGATAATAATGCCACCCTGTACTTGTATTTGATTGTGCCAAGAACATTAGATGATCCTTCTTGTCATAATAATACTCCTTCACATCAAGGTTTGAAGACACCTGTCTTGGCATTGGGCCTATTGTTCCTTAAGCGAAGGTCAAAAAACATGTTTATGACTTTGTCTCTGAATACTTGTTACCTAATCCTATAAGGCCTAATTGTTCTACATGATCCCTTGTTACCTCGTCCTATAAGGCCTAATTGTTCTACATGATCCCTTGTTACCTCATCCTATAAGGCCTAATTGTTTTACATGAACCCTTGTTACCTCATCCTATAAGGCCGAACTATTCTACATGAACCCTTGTTACCCCATCCTTTAAGGCCGAATTGTTTTACATGAACCCTTGTTACCTCATCCTATAAGACCTGATTGTTCTACATGAACCCTTGCTACCTCATCCTATAAGGCCTAAATGTTGTACATGAACTCTAGTTACCTTCACACACAAGGCTAAATGTCCCACATGTTGCTTATTCATACAACTTATTATCTATATATTATATGTATATATTATGTTTCCACTATATAATTGTGCACTACATAAATGCAGACTTACAAATAAAGCACATTTTATAATAATAGAAGTTTAACAATGTGATTCAGCAGGGATCCCTATACACCAGCATTAGTTCCAGTGTGTAGAGCAATGAAATCGTCAACATTTGAAAGCTTGAGAGGACCATAAGGACACAAATGAAAAAAGCATAAAGGAGTGAAGGAAAGATGAATGACTGAATGAATGAATGGATAGTATGTGGCTTTACACAGCAGTTGATGTTACAGGGGAAATGTGAACGCATATGACTGTAAGCTTTTCTATTTTGAGTTAGCTGTTAGAGTTATAAAGCAGAAAAGCATTTATAGACCTCTTATCCCATACCACGGTGTATATTCTCTGCAGTTGTATTCCATGTGCGTTGTACTGCATGTCGGATCTGGAAATGACACTTTACTGTTCATTTGCAGGATCTGATATCTCTGTTAGTACGATGTACAAGATGTCAGATTCTGAAGTGACATTTCGTACTTCATTTTTTTAGATCTGATATTTCTGCTAGTGCAATGTACAGGATGTCAGTGATAGCTCCATTGCCACGGCACGGTAAGATTTTAATCAAATCTTTTTGACGTGCCGTTCAGGTACCTCAGCTATTCGGCATCTGAGCCTGTCACTGCAGCAGAATCGTAGTGTATGTGTGCAAGATGCACAGGTAAGAGGATATCCCGGGGGTTCAACAGAATCGTAGATGTTCTGTAAACAAGTGTATGTGTGCAAGATGCACAGGTAAGAGGATATCCCGGGGGTTCATTACTAATACAAATCTCAATCTGGGACCAGAAGAGGTGCCTTCCCCTCTCCCTCCTCCTCTCTCTCTATCACTCCTCTTCTTATTAAATTTGCATCTTTTCTTACTTACCGTCTTGTCATGTACTCTGATGGGGAGCCTGAGATGATGACAATGGCCTCTCTTACTGCCCTGGCCCATGCATCACTAGGACAGGGGGTGCAGAGACAGAGGAGTGCCACAGGTACAGGTGGATGGTGATGCGACTGATGTCACTGGAACTGATGAGTACTATCTTCATGTGGTTGGAGGTGATATGAGATAAGTGCAACCGACAGTAACAGGAAATGGTCAGCAATAGCTGGGCGAGATGGTAACAACACTGCCGGCAAAGACGAGTCAGGTAGAGGCTGGGTCAGCAACTTGCATGTAATGAGGTACCAGAGTGGGAGGCAGTACAGGAGCAGATCATCAGGCAGAGGAGAACTGGAGTAAAGTTATGCAGGCTGGGTTGAACTTCTTGATACTTCTATGTTGTTTGTGTTTGCATTTCCTTCCCTTCCGTGTTTCTTTTCCTTCCCTTTTACGTTACCTTTGTGCTTTCCATTCATATGCATTCCTTTTCTTTTTTACTTTCCTTTCTTCCCTTCCCTTCTCTGTTCCTTTGCTTTTTTTCCCCTTTACTTTCCTATTTCTTTGTGCTTTTTTTTATTTTTTTTCTTCTCCATATTATTTCTTTTTTTTTCTTTCCTTTCCCGTCTCCCTTTTTATTCCTTACATTTACTTTCCCTTTACCCCTTTCATTACTTTCCTTTTACTTCTTGATTTTATTCCTATCTTTCTTTTCCATTCACTTCCCTTCCATGTTGCTTTTCTTTCCCTTTTATTTTTCCCTTTACTCTTTCTAGCCTGCTTATTTCCCTTCTTTGATTTCCTTTGTTCTTTCCCTCTCTTTTCCATCCCTTTATTTTCACTGTCCTTCCCTCACCTTCTCTGCTCCTTTACTTTTCCTCCCCATCCATGATCTTTTCCCTTTGATCTGTGTCTCCTTTTTCCATTGTTAATTTTTCCAATTCCTTCTCTCTGTGTTCATTTCTTTTGCCTTGTACCTACCCGCCCTACATATTTCCTGCAGTTGAAGATGCAAGTAATATCTTCTTATACACCAATAATAAATTCAATGTATTGTTAGGAAAGTGCCACACTTGCCCAGTCTGAGATGATGATTATATTCTGCTAATGAATGCTAATTCCTGGCTGAATTCCCTGAGCGCCTCTCTGCAACTAAAGCCCCTGAGCCACTTCTCCCCTCTGTACCATTAACCTTAGACACTCTCTTCTGCTATAATCCCTGCTTCTCTCGCTTTCTCTCTCTCCGGGGGTTTGCAGATAAAGCTAGTGAGAGCCGCTGGGAAATTCAAGCACTTCTGAATTTTCTGGGGTTAGAAGTATAAATGGAATCTGGAAACATGAAGATGATTAAATGTCAATGTTCTCACTGGAAAAAAGATTTTCAGATAGTTTTGCATTGGTGGGTAGACAGTTCATGACCCATTCAAGTATGTTATAGAGGTACTCCAATCAAAAAATAAAACATATGGAAGATTGTTTTCTTTTTATTGGCAGATCAGTCAATCCCATCTGTATCCAATGTGCAAGATTTGCTTATGTCTTCTTTTCATGTAAGTTTCATAGACAGAAAGGATCATAATGTTTATACATTTATAACAGGTTATGTTGTTTGGGTATGTTGGATACAAAGGAAATGGTAGGCATGCAGGGCACTAAGGTTTTTAGTAACTGAGGTAGACTGTAACTGCAGGACTTCCTCTAGAATCATGGGTTTCCCCATTTTGGCTTTCCAATAGTCCCCTAAGGTTCCTGACCCCCACAGTTGCTCTGATACCATCACTCATGCTGTGAGTAACCTTGAAGCAAACGTACAAAATAGCAGTAAAGTCCAGCATTTCTCAGTGTAGAAGGGCATTCTAAATTGCTTGTCCTTATACATTTATTCTTTACCGCACCACATATCTGACATGCAGTTTGCATGGGTGTATGGCTACCATCATCTCCATAACCTGCCACATCTGTCCCTCTAGAGCAGGGATGGCCAAACTGCGGCCCTCCAGCTGTGGTGGAACTACGAATCCAATGAGGCTTTGCAAGATTCTCACAGCCACAGACATGACTCTCGGAGAGAGATGCTTCATGGGATTTGTAGATTCACCACAGCTGGAGGGCCGGAGTTTGGCCATCCCTGATCTAGAGTAATATCACCAATGAAAAAAGCCAGAAAAGT